GCTCTCGAGGCTTTACTGTAATTAAATAACCTAACCTAAAATCTGTGAATAAGAATTACCAATTTGACTTTTTAAATTTCATATAATTTGAGTAAAATTTCATCATGCTTAATAATGTATTTTAATGAATGTATTCTCAGCACAATCCACTTTTTTCTGTAGTACTGTGTAACTTTTTTTCTTTAATTTATAAACAAGACATTTTAATCATTCTGTTCAATTTATAAGCCTATTTATATATGATATCTGAAGTACTTTTAATTTTTTAGGTGTGTTATGAAAATGGATCACCATTGTCCATGGATCAATAATTGTTGTGGCCATCTGAATCATGCAAAATTCACATTATTCTTAATTTCAGCTGTTTGTGGTTGTTTTCAGTCATCTGTTCTTCTTTTCTTGGGCCTTTACCGAGCATTTCGAGTGGTAATAATTTATTTCGCTGTCTTCAAAATGTAAATTAATTTGAAAATTTAATTATTGGTTTTAATTAAAAAGCCATAAGGGAAAAAAATTTTAAAAATTAGCTTCTCGATATTATTAATAGAATTATATAAATGTACTATATAAGGAAGATGTTTTTAATAAGTGTTAAAAAATGTGTTAGATTATTTATTTTAACAGTTTTAAATTTCTGTAAAGCTTATCTCATATTGTGTTTAAAGATATATGTTAGATTATTTATTTTAATAGTTTTAAATTTCTGTAAAGTTTATTTCATATTTTTTAAATTCTTGTTTAATAATAAATTTATTAAGTTATTTTGCTTTTTTCTTAATGTTAAGTTTTAGTATTATCATGCTTTGAACTTGTGCAAAAATTCTTTATTATATCTATATTTTATTTTAAATGTAATTTTTTTTTATGTCTAGAACTGGTACTTTTTACATGGAGACCGTACCAGTATTGTATATTTATCATTGTATCAACTAGCTTTCACTGTCTTCAGTTTTGGTTTGGCTTTAGGTGTGGTACTTGCTGTTGGTGGATTGTTTTATGTTCAAGTAAATATATCTGCATTTTTCTATTTTTAAATATCTAGACAATAATAGAAAACAGATTTAAAATACAAACAATAAACAGAGATGAAGAGTATTCTAACATCTTTTCTGAGTAATGAAATTTCTTATTTGCATCACGAGAGGAATACGTATAGATATAAAAAGACATAAGAAAGCAAATTTGTAAGCCTGCAAAGCTAATGCAGTAACGTGAAACATAATGAACTGCTTAACAGTTTCAATAAAATGAAATCATTAAGTACTGTGAGTGTAGAAAATATTTTTTGAGTTTTGATTTTCATCAAATAAAGCGAAAAGCACACTTCCTTTCTATTGCCATTGAATAATAGATGGAATAAACTATTACATTTTTAAATAACAGTTTGAAATCAATATATTCTATGTGCACAATTCTTTTTTTTCTTTAATTTATTCTTTCTCGATAATAATCATGTTTCATAATCACAATAGCTAATGTTCCTGGGTCAATTTAACCTCAGCTTTTGAATATCAGTCTTTTCTAATAAGATGTTAAAAAGGAATATGGAAAATATGTAATTTAGCATTATTTGGTTACCATCATCATCAGCTTGCCTAATTTTCTGTATTTAAAGAGGCATGAATATTTGAAATAGACACTTCATTATTTAATACAAATAAATTTTAATGTCAGAAAGTAAGAAAATTATTGCAATGCAAACATGCACCTCACATTTTGGTAATCTTATAAAATTCAGAAATATCTCTTTATAACATTATGTATGCTTTAATTCCTTGACCAAAAATGTTATGTAAACATAAAAAAATTATTCCTCACATAGGAGAAATGAATAATGTTATTTTGTCTCTTTTCTTCTACAAATGAAATACTTTTGACTATCAAATTTATAAGTGCAGATTGTGAAATAAAAATGTTTAGGAAGTAAATAATGAAATTAAGTCTTTTTAGTAGAAGACAATATTTAGATTTTATCAGAACAGATGTGAATGGCTTTTTGAGTTCACAGCTATATTGAATTTTTCAACATTGAACTGTTTAATGAGGAAGAGATTTTTTTTTGGTGATGCCTAAAATTTTTTTAATGCCTAAAATTTTGTTGTATCATTAATGGAGATTTAATGTGGTAATTTTGTGTAAGCTCTTATAAAATGGAAATAATGAATTCGGTTAAATTCAGCAATGCATAGCATAATCTGGTAATCAGTTCTACCAGTATGCTTGAATATTTAAAACTGAACTAACTGAGGAACTAAATATGTATACAAAATCACAATTGATTCCAAATGAATAAAACTTGCCTCCCCTCATTTTTCAATAAATAAAACATTAATAAATCCAAATGTTGTTATTAGAAATTTTTTTTAAATGTATGTTCTTCATAATTAATTTTTTATTCTCTAAATATTGCAATATAAATGTCTACACACTTTTCTTCTTTGACCATTTCTCTTCATACATTTCTTTGTAACAATTAATTGCATTGTTTATTGTTTGGCAGATTATAAGTCTATGTTCAATATTGGAATCAATTTCCATAATACACTCTAACAAGGTTTCAACCATTCCAAAAAATTTTTTAGTTGTTCAACTGTACCTTCTCATTCAGATGCTTCAACACTATCATTGTTGTGTAATTTGTCCTCAAATTCTTCATAAATCCTTTATTAATCTATACTAATTCCATTATCTGGTTCATTACTTTTTGATTTGATGTATTCAGTTATGTCGTTGGACTGTAATTCATTAAAAACCATGCTGCTGTTCAATTTCTACAGTGTGATTAGTAACACAAAATAAGTTTCAAAGCCAATGAAATCATTTGATGAAAATGATATTTCTTTCTATTCATGCCATGTTTTGCTTGTATTTTTAATAACATTTCTGGTAGTACATACCAAAATGATGATAGCCTTCTAAAATTCCATTGAAATAGGCTAATTTTCTCCTGTTATAGCTTTTGTGACATGTAAAGAAATGCAGCAGTCTTAAATATTCCAGTGACATCTTGATCCATTAACTGGATCAACTACATTTTATTTGGTAAAAGAAAAGCTGTGTGTATATATTCATGTAAATCATGAGGATCAGTGAAATGGTCTGGGCATTATCTGACATCAATAAAATTTTGTGTTACACTGCAAAAAATCGGGAGTGAACTAAACTTCAAATAAAAAGTTTGTGACCCATGCTTTTATATTTGAATGTCACAACACCGAGAATTATTTTTTTGTAAATCTTCAAGAGCTTTAGAATTTTCTACAGGATTCACAAGCATCAGTTTTATTTGAAATCTCTTTCTTAATTTCCATTTTATAACAATGTGAGACCCCCTTTACTTTTTGAAAATTTGATATCCAGGACAGGTCTTTTCATACCTGCTGTAATGGCATACATGATATAATTTTCCTTCCAGAATAAACACATTTTATCTCTGCTAAATATTTGTTGTTTTTTAACCAACTTTTTTAATGATTTCACTTAATTCTTTTGAATATCTTGAAGCAGCCTCTGTATCTGCACTGGCAGATTCATCAAGAATATGAATATTTTGAATACCAGTGTGTTGCTTAAAACAGGAAAAACAACCATGAGTTACCTTAAAAGTTTCACCATTTCCCTTTATCTTCATTTTTTATAGCATTAGTAGTCTTCAAGTGATTGTAAAAATTGAATGCTTTGGCTTGAATTTCCATTTGACTAAGTGAAACTCATTATTTTTTATTTAAATATTTGATCCATATTGATAATAGTTGCACTGTGTTTAGCATTTGAGTGCATTTAATTTTAATCATTACTTTTGACAGATAAGAAGACCCAACTATACTGCTCAGGTGAATCCTGGCTTTTTACTGTATGCCAATAATCTCAAAAACTCAAATTGCATACAGGCCAAATGCACAATCTAAAAGTAGTGGACAGGCCAAAATTTAAAAAAAAGGGGAGGAGGAGAAAGGAAAAGTTTTTTTGGGGGGTGTTGTTCAAAGCAAAATTTATCTAAATTTTAAAACATTTTACTACATATTTGTCAGAACCTACATATAAAAATAAAGAAAAAAATCAAATTTTTACTTATTTTCTGCATGAAATCTAAAAGTTGATATCAACAAGATATCTCCATTGATTATAATTTGTAATTGAAATGTATTGACAGGTAAACATTAAAATTTTCACATTGAAATTTATTCAAATAATTCTAATACTGTATTGAGGTAACTTACTTAAACTAAAAGAAATGTATGAAAACTTCTGAAGAAGGAGAAAATTTGACAATAAATAATGAAAGCTATTTCTCTTTCCTTTATTTATTATACTTTCCTATGACGCATACAGAAAAAAATAATATTTTTGTATGTAATTATAAACTTTGTTTTTTACTATAACTTTCAGCTCCAATACCTCATGGCATATTGATTTTCATAAACTTTGTAATCTTAGAGAAATATTATTAGAAAATATCTTTATCACAAATTGTAAATACTCATCGGCAGTCTGGTTCCTTTCGTATACTTATTAATTTTCATCTACAAAAAAACTTTGTACTAAGAAACAAAGAGAGGTTAGTATAAAATATTACTTCCATAAAAATAAAAAACATGCTGTTTGTTGTTAGAAATACTTAAAGCTCTTTTAAACTCCTTCGTGTCTATGTTACACTACCAAAGAAATTTTCACTTATTACACCTGGTAAGTAGTATTTTGATTTTTCAAGATCTTAGCAAATAATCAAACCTTAACAGTGTTGTTTCTCATTGCAATCAATGCAAGAACTTTATTTATCTTACAAATTATAACTGTAGTTACTTAATAAAGTGAGATAATTAAATACAATATATGTAATTATTATAGTTAAAATACATTTAATAGATAAAATTGAGTGTATAGCACAGATAACACCAAACAGCAAAACATATGTTAGATTATGAAGAATTCAAATGCTGAAATTCATGGCAATTTTGAGCTGATTTTAAATTTTGTCAGCAAAATTTTTTTATCGAACATTCTTTTTAGTCTTTTTATGAAGGTCTTTTATTCCTTTATAGAAAAGTACTATTGTTTAAAGTACATAAAATATTATAATTAGCAATGCTTTCCAAAATATGAAATTCCAGTTAATTTGGCTTGTAAGTTCATCTCTGATGACTTTTGTTCTTTCTTTTATTTAACATTCGATCATTCTTTCCTTCCCCCCCCTCGGTTTCCCTTTTTAAAGACCCAATGTAATCAATTAGTGTTTAGTGTTTTTTTTTTTTTTTTTATAATATTGGTCATTGCACGTTGTGATAAACATGTTGTCATTGCATTTACTGTATCTTGATGGGAACCTTTATGTTCATTACTTACAGTTTCTAATTTCTGCAAGTAAAAATTAAATTTGAAGTTTATGAAAATTGATGTCTTTTATTCCTATGTTTCTACATTTTCAAGTTAATTTTGTAACACTTTGTTTTTTAGCTATTTAAGAAATTTATCTTCTATTTGTAAAGGATTACGGTATCTTGATTAAATGTAGCATCATTCAATGTACCTTCATATTCAGAATCATTCAGTAACTTCATAATTAAAAGAAAAATGTTGTCTTTAAACAAAACAAAAAAAAAAAAAAAAAAAAAAAGCCATCTTTAAACATGTGTGTACAGTTGTTTGATTTATTTCAGAGCAGGAAATGTGAAACATCATAAATGCCATCGATTTGGACTCCAATCAAATTTAGGATATGTAGTTACAGAGTGTAATGAAGGAGAAAATTTCTTACAGGCTTCTGCACTTAAAAGATGGCTCGGAAGGAGGGGACCCAAGTGGGGAAAATCCTCCGCCCTAAGAATTGGATAACTTCCTCAGGACTATCATAATGGATCCTCTGCAGTTATTGTTTCATTTGGGCTAAGAGATAAAATAATCACAGATACTTACATTGAGTGAGTATGGCCAATACCCTTGGATGGAGGTTTTGGAATGGTGGATGTTTCAGTACCTCCCATCATCACTGTCACAGAAGATCCATGACAATGTCCGCCTTATAACATTGTGCGTTGTTGTGGAAGATAATGGAATTCATTACCTAGAGCCAGCATTTTGGAGGAAATGATGGAAGTTATCGGTGATGACTCCGGTATATTGCTGAGTGACATAAATGCGAGGGTTGATTTCTTGCAGCCGTGGTGATGGGGTAATACACCTGCCATACTCACCCAAGTGTGATTATAATCTCTTCACTGAAATGGAAAAAAAAAAAAAAAAAACACTGCAAAGGATCCACTACAGTAGTGCAGAAGAGGTTATCCATGCTCTAAGGGGAATTGTTATGATGCATCACAGAATTGGATGTATTGATGGTGTACGACAGTGGCCTCAAACTCAAACTGCACTTAACCGAAATTTAAGATTTGAAATCAGCTAATAGGCCTCAATTATAATAATATTAGTAATAAAGTTTTTTTAACAAAACAAAACATGTTAGCTAAAATTTAAAAAAAAAAAAAAAAAAAAAAACCTCTACTAGATATTTGTCAAAACATGTATGTAAAAATTTCTAAAAAAAATTTCAAAATTATACACCAATTCGGTGATTGGCAATGTGGTACATAATAGGATGCATGCTGGAATTCTTATCTGTAGTGTTGTTTAAAGTGAATGTTGTTTCTGAGAATAATCAAGGGCAGAAGTGACAAATAATTGGTAGAAACAAAGGAAATCAAAGACATAGAGGTTGCCCAAAATTTGAGTACCCTTGAAGTATCATATCAAGAATTTGGAGCTGCTTTTGAAGCACTCGATGAGTTAATAGACAGCCTGGTCATGGGCGACCAAGAGCAACAACTTCACCAGAAGGTTGTTTTCTCTCTGTGTTACCTCGAAAAAACCATGAAGCGACTGCAAAAGATTTGGTTTTAGACCTTCCAGCTGCAACAGGAACTCGAATTAGTTATTCCACTATTGCATGAAGGCTTAATGAGTTTGAACTGTATGCAAGAAAACCAGTGGTTTGTGTCCCACTTACTTCAGGTTCCAAAGTGGCCCGTTTAAACCGTTACTGGCATCATGATTCAGTGGAGCCAAGATGACCGAGTCCAAGTACTGTATGCTGACGAGTCCAGACATAGTCTAGGCAGTGATTCTAGATGTGTTGTGATGTGGAAAGAGGAAGGTAAACGCAACTTGCCTTCCCTTGTCCTGGAAATATTGCGTTTCCGTGACCGCGGTGTAATGGTTTGGGGAGGAATCATGAGAAATGGCTGCATTGAGCTGCCTATCTTTTAAGGAAGCTTTGTACCACTCGGAGATATGTGGACAATGTTATGGAGCCCCAAGTTAGACTGTTTAATGGTGCTCTTGGCCCAGAGTTTTTGCTAATGGATAATAATGCTCGGGCTCATCGAGCATATGGTGTCAGAATACTTTCAAACAGAAGATATTATTTGAAAAGATTGACCAACTTACTCACCTGACTTGAATCCAGTTGGACATGTGTGGAATGCCTTAGGGTGCCAGATTTCTCTCTGAACTCTCCAGAAGCTGAAAAGTGCACTTTTCGAAAAGTGGTGTGCAGTTCCTTAAGACTTGATCAACACTTAACTTGTATAAGGTAAAATCAATGAAATCAAGATGTGAAGTATGCATATCTCCCGAGGTGACCGTACACCATATAAAAGAAAACATTTTTCTTTAAGATGTGACTTAATTTTTCCATCATTTTCCTTAAATTTGATTTAAATGTTAATATTTAGCAAATAACCAACTGCCAAACATTGTAATTTATGTTAACTAGTGCTTTTGTACAATTTCTATTAATAATTTTTTATCAAGTATGAGTTAAATTTTATTTTTGCCATTATCCTTTAATTTTGATGATCAATGTACATCACAGCCCCCTTCCTCCTCTTTTTTTTACAGCATTTACAATAGCTGCCCCAAACCTATGTATCCTGTACCCTATGAAAATATTAAAATGTGTATTTGCTTTTTACTCTCCCCCCCCTTAAGAATGAAAATTATCTTTAATATTTCTTTGATTTTACCTCCTCAACAAGATTTTCATATTGTTTTATTTTAAATGTGTTCTGCAGACCCTCCAGTCATAAATGTCCATCCATGCCTTGTATAAGCATCTATGACTCCTCATAAAATAAAAAATAATCTTCAGACCTTTGATGTGAAAACTGATTGTTTTCTCTGTTTACTTAGCAGAAAGCAATATTAATATAGTTCTTTCCTAAAAATGTAAACTAAATTTTCATGAAACTGGAAATATGTTAATTTTTTTTTTCACGTGCAGCTATTTAACTCTTCAGCATAAGCAATTTGGATTGCAGAAAATGTTGCTAGATTATTAGCAATATTTTTTTCATAAGAAACTGAGATAAAGTTATGCATATGTCAAAATATAGCAAACCATTATTTATCCTTATATATGTATGCCAGTTCTGATTATTAATTTGTTTTTTTAAAAATATTATTCAAAACTGTATTGTATTTGTTACTTGTTTAGCAGTCAAATATATGTTCAGAATTGCTTTTGTATTATCATGTGGTTTGTTCATGTAATATGTATGACAAAAAATTTTGACTTTTTTTTTTTTTAATTTTCAGATGAAACAAATTATAAGAAATGAAACAAGTATTGAAAACTGGATAGTAATTAAGGTATAATTATAATTTTTTCAGTATTAATATACTAAACCTATGCATTGTGTGGCCCATTAAGGAAATTATGCAATTTTTTTTAAATGATAAATACAAATAAAGCAGTACAAAAACATAAGAAAATTTCATTGAATTACGTAAACCTCTTTTCTTTTATAACAATTTGCAATCTCTTCGTTAGCTGGAAAATTCCATTTTTAAAAAATTCGTAAGGTTTATTCATGAAGAAATTGTCTAGGTGCGGTTTGACAGTCTTCAAAGAAATTAACTCCAGACCATTCAAAGAATTTTGAACTGACCTGAAGAATAAAAATCAGAAGGGTGTAAGGTCTGGTGAATATGTGGAGTGATTAAATAACACCCCTGTCATATTCGTAAGTTTTTGTCTGATATTCAAGAAAATGTAGAATTGAGCATTGTAATAATGGAAGACAATACATCAACAATTGGTTAGTTTTGTGCATTTTGCTTCAATTTCTGCTCTTAAAACTGCCATTTGGGAACAGTATCTTTCCAAATTTATTATCTGATTTGATTGTAGCAATTCATAGTATATAGTTCCTTTGTATTTCTGCCATACACAAAGCATTATCTTTTTGGAATTCAGCTCCCGTCTCAGTGTTACTAAAGGATGATCACTTGGCTTACACCATGTTCTTTTTCAGGTAACATTATTGTGTAGTATCTACTCAGCTTCATTAATGAGCCGTTTCAAAAAAGATGCTCCTTTATTTCATTTCATCAAAGAATCGCATGATGAAATTCAAGCAAGCATATTCTGCTGTGTTAAAGTATGGGGTACCTAGATATCATTGCAGCTTACATGTCCAGTCTTCTTCATATGTTATTGTACTGTACGAGGGATTTTCAACCAGTGAGGGGTGGGGGAGTCAGCCTTTTATTTAGCTGTTAAGTACTTAATTTTAATGTATGAATACAGGAAATTATTTTTATTCAAGTTCTGGTATCTACCAAATTTTGTATACTATTTCTTGTTTAATTTATAAAGCATATTAAAAATAATCTAAATTTAAATATGTGTATGCATTTTTCAAGTTTTGGAAAGGAAAGAAAGAGTGATCATCTAGCTATGGTGAAACAAGTGCATGGGGCAAAAAATGTTGAGAACTTTTAGGAATATTTAGTTTGTCTGGTAGTTCTTAAATTGAATAAGTGGATTTTCAGTGATGGCTTTTAATACTTCCTTATTTACAGAGAATTGTTGTCAAGAGCAGGTGTCATCTTTGAAGCTGAAATTTCTTCAATCTTCCGCATTCATCATCGAAGAAAATCACCTTCAGATTGTGTTATCAGAAATAGCACTTTGTCTGTATATAATGCAAATTTTTTTATTAGGAAGTATTGTAATTGCGAAATGTTTCAAGAATAATATTTCAATGCAAATATCCATTTTCACCGCAATTAATGATTATTTCACCGCTATGCAATTTAATGATGTTTTTGCATGACATCTGTACGTAAGGACAGAATAAAATACCCTTTTTCCCCAAAAAAATTGCAAATCTAATTTAAAATCAATTTTGAAGAGAATTTTTCGTTGAGTCTGTGCATGCGTACGTACGTATCTCGTATAACTCAGAAATGAGTAGCCTCAGAACGTTGAAATTTTGTGTATAGGACTGCTATAACTTGTAGATGTGCACCTCATATTTTGGTTGCAATCGGCCACACATATATACACATACACTCTGTTACTCAGTTATCTCAGTTTCTTTATTCTTATATGTTTGTAAATTGTGCATTTTTTGCTTTAAAAATTATTGAATTATGTTGTTCTTATCTTCCAATTAAGGTTTTTATGCGTTTAGTAAATTTATATGCAATATTTTTAGAATTATCAACAATTTAAAAGTTGTGTAAGTGCCACTAAGCCTAATAATTTTTGCCATGGCGGCAATTGCTTGTTTACATTTGGAACAGCAGAATAGTAGATTTGTTGCCAATCTAGAGAAAGTAAGCTTTGCAATAACAAAGATAACGCGTTCTTTTGTTATTGGGAATTAAATCATGCTTAATCCATTCTGGAATTTATTCAAGGAAATAAGTGTTTAAGATTTACTTCATAATTTTCAATACGGACATTTTGTGTTTTTATGTATTTTTCCCTTGTCACGAAGTGAGAACTGAATTAATTGAATGAGAAATACTGAATCGTCTCTGAAAAACTGTTTCTTTTTAGTCCAAAGGGGCTTTGTCCCTGAAGGACTATTGTTTTTGTTTTGCAATTTTGCATTGAATCACTATGAATGTCCGTTTCACTTTTCAAACTGTTGCCAGCAAATGTTAGAGTCCACTATATTTGAAGAAATTTAATAATGAAAAATCTGCATAAAATATGTGTCTATATCTCGCATTGTGATAAAATAACGGTACATAGAGCCATCGAATTTTGAATGACGTAATCCTCCCGTGAATATGGGCATGTGGAAGACGAAATTTGGAATTTGTTTTATTATCGATTTCCTATTTTGTAAAACTTGAACGAATTTTTGAGCAACAAACTCAACGATTTAAAAGCAAGCAATGGCAACACTCTACGGGGGGAAAAAAGAAACCTTTTTATCTCCCTGCGAAACTGTCTATCAGAAATTCTAAAGATATGCTCAATTTAAAATTATTTTGTGACATTGCTATTGAAGTGAATTTTATGGTTTAAGTGCAAACATGATATTTAATAAATAAAGGTAACACACAAAACGTTTAAAAACTGCCCCTTTGGACTTCATTTAAAATGTGAAACCTTTTTTTTTTTTTTTTTTTTTTTTTTGTTGTTCTTTGCTTAATTTCATTTATACATCATTTTAGATTTATTATAGTATTTGAATAGAACACGTAGAACATAATTCTTAAGATGATATAAATTTTGTGCATTCTGAGTTAAAAAATGAACTTACTTCTCCTATGGAAATTACTAATATTATTAGATATCTCAACATCAAAAAAGCTCTTGGAAGTGATCAAATTACTAATAAAATACTTTGTAATTTACCTAGAAATCTTATCAGTAAATTCGCCCGTATTCTCAATGCTTGCCTTACTCTTAACTATTTTCCTGATCCTTGGAAGCAGGCCAAGATCTTTCTTCTTCCCAAACCGGGTAAGGATGTGATCAAACCTGATGGCTATCATCCAATCAGTTTGTTATCCAGCCTTGGCAAAATTTACGAACGACTTATACTTACAAGATTAGAACCTTTTCTTCAGCTGTTACCTAATGATCAGTACGGATTCAGAAAAAACCTAGTTACTACCCGTCAACTTGTAAGAACTGTTGAATTTGTTGGATCTGCATTCCATAACAAGCAAAGTGTTGCACTCCTTATGCTGGACGTGGCAAAAGCCTTTGACGTGTCTGGCGTGAGGGGTCATCTTCAAGCTAATCAACTTGGGACTTCCCAGAGAACTTATCCTTCTGATTTTCTCTTTCTTGCAGAACCGCACTTTCTCCGTCGCTCAAGGAAATGAAAAATTCAATTCAAGACCTATTAGATCCAGCATCCCACAAGGAAGTATTCTCGGTCCGGTGCTATATCTTTTCTACATATCAGACAATCCACACCCTGATTTGGACAATTATTCTCTGTTAGCATGTTATGCCGATGATATGGCAATTGCAATTAAATCTATCCAAGCAAATCATGCGATAGACAAAATGCAAAATTATCTTTATGCTGTAGAAGATTGGTGTGGTGCACAAATGGACATGTAAAAATCAATGCTAGCAAGTCGCAACTTTTAATCCTCAGCAAAACTAAGAAAAACATCGTTTTTAAAGATCTCTTATCTTTTTCAAGAAGCTGTTCCTTTGGTCACAAAGGCTAAATATTTAGGGATTATTTTGAATGAAAGACTCACATGGTCCAACCACATTAAAAGTGTCAAGAGCAAAGCCATGGGCATCATGTGCAGATTTCTCCATGTCATTAGAAAATATTCAAATCTTAGCTCACGTACCAAAAGACATATCTGTACCACCTGCTTTCGACCAATACTTTTTTATGCTGTTCCTGCTTGGAACACAGTCACCCAAACTCAGCTTCATCAATTGTAAGTAATGCAAAACAAATTTCTGCGCATTATTACTGACTCGCACTTTCTTATCTGTAATGAACTTTTACATTGAGATTTAAAACTTGAGACTATTTCAGAATGTATCAGAAGGTCCAATGAAAAATTCTTCAACAAAGCAGTGCAATGCGACTTCATTAATTACTCTCAAGTCTTTAATTATGAAAATCTCTTTGAAGATAGAAACCTCGGACCACTGGCAGCACACACCTTCATGGGAGGAGATGACAACTTTATCACTTAGCTCCTCAATTGGTACCTGTTTACTTCCAATGCATCTGATTTTGATGGAAGTTCTTCTGTAGTTTAAATTTTGTTCTTGGAAATTGATTGATTGCTATCGCTGTGAAATGTTTCGCGTTGTAGTGATGAAATTATTGTGTTGTAACATTGTATCCTAGGTTGTTGCAGAATTGCTGTAGTGAATTGTGTTTGTATCGTTGTATTGAATTGTGTTGTATTTAGTTGTATTGATTGAGGTTGTTTTTGTAGAATTTGATTTTGTCATTGAAGCCATTACTGTTGAGTATCTTTCTCATATTGTCGTCATAGAAACTGCATCGTCTTGGATCCTTCTTGAAAGCTCTGATCACTTGTCACGTTTTGCGAACTTGTCTGATTGGATTGTCTTGCTCCTTTTTGGTACTTCTCTTTTTCTCCGTTTTCTCATCTGAGATTTTTTTTTTACATCTGGATTTCTTTATGTCATGTGCTGTGCACTTGGGCTTTAATTCTGGAGCCGGCAATGCTGCTCTTCGCAATAGTTCGGTCAATTATAGAGTCTAAGTTAAAAAATGAATGAAATATAACTCTGATAATTGAACCTATGGCCAGAGTGTTGTTATGGTAAACAAATACAGTGAATTTTAAAGAGGCATTTATTCTATTGAGGTTTATGCGCACTCGACAAAGTAGATTTAATTCAATCCAATAAGTTTAAATGAAATGCAAGAAAAAATGTGTATAATTTAATATTCCGTACAAGGAAGTGATGTGGTGCACACATCAGATTTTTTTCTTTTTAAGTAAAAGAGAATATGATGAAAATTAATTCTAATTTCGTCATTCTTAGCACTGTACTGAAATAAAAATTATGTCACAGCACATAACTAGAATTATGTAGTGGGAGCAGAGAAGACCATATTTACGTATCTACTTCAGTCAGGATCATTTCTTATCATCATTAGCAAAATAATTAGAAGAAATGTATTTGAAAAACTGTAGAACTTTGTGGATGACCCATAAGTTATGTATCAGATCAAAATACATTTCTTGGCTTTCTTCACTATATGTATACATTATTAGTCAATCTTTGAGTAGATCTGTTCCTTAGATAATCAGACATCTTGAATATTTTTTGTGACTTTATTTTACTTATATTACTTTTGGGACAGTAAACTTTATTTGTCACAGTAATAAGGTCATAACTGTGATAAACAAAAGTATATTTGCTCTAAGTAAAAAATTCATGTTCTATTTTAATAGTATTGTGTACAGTGTAGTTTTAGCAAGGAATACATCTGTTTTTGGCATATATTATCCTATTATAATTTGTTTTATATTATTTTGTGACATTTTTATATTCTATTCTTTGAATCAACAAACAGATGAGTAAATTCTCAGAAACATATAGATTTTTTATAGAATGCCTGTAGGAGTAAAACTAATTCTTTTATTACTTTCTGTCATGCATTTTTATGCGAGTTGTTACAGAATTAAAAAGTCAGAAACCAGATGATTCTATACTGGATTCATAATATATCTTGTAAAGAACATATTTTATTAAACAAAAACTTACTGCATGCATTCATAAAAATTGTTATTTGAAAATATTAAAAATTAAATGAATTTAAATTAATTAGACTTGTTACTAAAATAAAGTTAAATTAAAAGTGACTACCACATTTATTGGTCACCTGTGTGGGACAATGCAGTAAATTTGAATAGAATATTAGAATTAAACTGCGAGTTATTTGATGACCTATGGTCACCAGATTGGTGTGGCTGATGGCCACTAGGTTGGGTATTGCAGAGTACATTATTAGTGATACCTTGAAGTTAAACATTACTTAGTCAGTTAGAAGTTTAAGAAATTGATTCTGTTAAACCCTTAATGCACCAATAAAAATTTAAAGTGGTCTTTTTCCCACCAATTTTTTTATTCTTTATTTTAACTCAAAACTGTACTTGATATTCTGTTATATTTATATCTTTAAAAAATACTTGAGTGATATGTAAATGTAATTAATATAATATATTTGAGTAATAAGTATAAAATTATTTGAGTGTATGGATAAATATTTATTTATCCAATCAATATACATTAACTGCTTCCCTGGCAATAGTCCCAATAATGTGCTCTGCATAATCCGGACTATTGCCAGGGAAGCAGGTACTTTCAGTCTGAGAGCATTTAAATATTTGTTGAATTTCATTGTGTGTGTTTCAAAGTGCTATTTTACCATTGTATTTGAATCCCCTTTAGTGACAAAGCCCACAAGACTTTAAACAGAAGACATTTTTTGTTTTGAGACTAATGTAATTGTCAGTATCTTCTTCACTTATATTTTCAGTATCATTATCTGCCTCTTCTGCTTTTGTAACATTTAAAACGATATCCACATTTTTAGTCTAAAGGGGCAATTTGCCCTGAGAACTATTAATTTCGTTTTGGCATTTTGTGCCGAAAACTTGAAAAGGCTGTATCACTTTTCAGATCATTCCCACCATATGTTATCGCTCTGTCTTGTATTTAAAGGAATTAAATAATGAAGAATCTGAATAAATGTATGAATGTTTCTTACATTGTGATAAAACAATGGTACCTAGAGCCATCAAAATTTCGATAACGTAATCTTCTATAGAATATGGGCATGCGGAAGCCCTAATTTGAATTTGAAATTTGTTTTATTATCGATTTCATATTTTGTAATGCTTCAACGAATTTTTGTTTAAAAAACTAAATGATTTCAAAGTGAGCAATGGCAACACTGTGCGAAAAAAACATTTTTATCTCCAGCGCACGAGACTCTGTGTCAGAAATTCTAAAGAAATACTCAAAATTAATTTGCAATATTGCTGTTGAACTGAATTTTATAGGAGTACATAGAACATGGTATTTAATAAATAAAGGTAACACACAAAACATTAAAAAAACGCCCTTTTGGACATAATTTTTTTATTTCATATTTTTTACATTGCATATTGTGCTGTTGACTAAAATGCATAAGTATAATTATTGATATTCACAATTAATAATACATGTATCTTTTGTTCATATACTGTGCAAATATTAATTTTTTAGAAGGAGGAATACGCATTGTGGATTTAATTTTGGCCTTACTATCCAACTAATAATAATAATGGCACTGTACTTAAATTTTTAAAACAGTTTCATTCACGCCTGAGATTACCTTTAAATTTATAATTTGAACTTTTCTCAAAGGCACTTGGGAGACCCAGACCAGAAAATTCTCCATTTATCTATCCATATAATGTAGGATGGTGGAAAAATATAAAACAAGTCTTTTGGGACCCTCCAGGTAATGGATTAACAGATTGGCCTCTTGTTGATGGCTGCCATCAATATACATTAACGGTAAGTTACTCTTCTTTGAAAATAGATCTTATAGAAATAAACATATCTTTGGCTTTTTGTAATAGAAAAAAGTTATCTTAAAAGCAAAAATTTCAAATATGCTGTAAGGCATTTATCTCATTAATCTTAGTATAGCAATACCTCATCTTTATAAACTGATATGTTCCTAAATTAGGAATTGGTTAAATAAGGTATAATTAATAATTCTGAACTTTGCTTTTGATGCTGGCTCTGAATATAGGCGACATAGACAGCCACCTAAGGCACTGATTTTTGGAGAGCATCAACTAAGCTGTTCTCACATGTGAAAATTAAGTTAAGGTATTTTCAATTTGAATTATTATTGTGTTTAATTTATGAGACATTTCAGTGCTTCGAGTAGAGGGGATAAGCAGTAATAAAATAAAATAGTGCTAGAAAAACAGTTTGCTTATACATTTATTCAAATTAAATTTTTTGCAACTATTGAATATGGCATCTTATTAAATGTAGTACCAGGTAGCCACAAGAGTAAAAGTTTATGTTTTAAAAATTAATTTATAATTCCAAAGTTTGTAAAATGAAGTATGACTGTTATATTGTAGACATAGTGTTGATTTTTCCGTTAAATCCTATGTGATATATCTGACTTCAAATCTAAAATTTTCTGAAGAACACAAAAACCTTGTCTAAAACTTAAAGGTCTATTTAACTGGAACTTCAACACTGATGAAAACTTAACATCATAAACGAAACTTAACATCTTGGGTGGAAAACATTCAAAGTGCTTTAAAGTAACAGCTATGCCGGCACGATGAAGAACACTTTCTTTTAAAATACAGAATCCATCTAGCCCTTTCGGCATATATCTCCATTCGCTGGATTCAGACTTCCGCTCCTACGTGTTTTGGACTTAAACGGCCGGACTGGAACTGGAACTGGACTGGATCAGGACCGGAACAGGGCTGGAACCGAAACAAGATAGGAACCGGAACAGGACTGGATCCAGAACAAGACAGGAACCGGAATCTCTCATCCCCTGGCTTCTGCCTCGGGCAGGTCTATTCTGGCTCGAACTAAAATGAACTGCGGTGCCACTAAGGAAAGCACCTCCTTTTATTGACGGCAGTTGCCGTTACTACAGGCGATTATGCAAATATTTAACACATAGTTAGTCATATATACCTTGTATGAATGTTTCTTTATTAATTTTTATGTAGTTTGAATTTTCATTTTATAGGAATGTAGTCATTTATTTTTATTAAAATTTTGTGAATTCTTCTGTTGATGAAATCTGTAATTTAAAGTTAAGTTTTATTATTCTTATCTTTATCTAATATTACATGAACATGATATTGATGTACTGTGTGTGTTATTTAGAATACGGCTAATATTTATAATTCTTAGCATTCTTTCATTTATTATTGAGCATTATTTTGCATTAAACAAATGCTTTGTAACTTACATTTGCTTCAATCATTATGTTTTAAATCTCATTTTTGCTATTCAGAAGATAGTAAAGTCCATAATTACATAGTTTGTGTATATATATATATAAAAAGAGAGAGAGAGAGAGAAGAAGAAGAAAGAAAAGAAAAATTGCTTCTAAAATGTTTTGGGGGGTCATGTTTAAGGTAAAATGGGGTGAAATGAGGTTAATTATAAGGATTGTGCAAATGAAACATAAGCCTTTGTGCTAAGTTTCTTGTGTATTTGACATGGTGAACATCAGTTGGCCTACCATTTAGATTGATCAAAGCAGCATGCTGCATGATCATTTGCAGTGCACTTTCACTGCAGAAAAAGACTACTTTTATAATAGAAGTATATCATGGATATGCCCAAGCTTGCTCGATGTGTTGTGATTAAATTCCTGTATAAGTAAACCATACAACCAGCAAAGATCTCTAAGCATGTGCTAATAATTCATGGGGACATCTTTCAAAATGCAGTAAGTGTTCAAAAGGTGTACATATTATTGAGATGGGATGGAATACACAGAAAGTCACCTGAGATAAAGTTATAAATGTGTTTTATAATCACAGAGGGAGCAGCAGTAAAGGCTTTTATAAAGGAAAACTGCCATTCTAGTAAACATAAGCTTGCAGTGACTGTTAATTTAAGAGCTGGTAGATGTACATCCTGTTCTGCTTGAAGTGAATATGATGATGTGCCCTAACATCCATGCAATGAAATGCCCCAAAATCCATGCAGATAGGGTTTGACAACATTTCTTTCATTATTGCAAACAGAGATCAACATTTCTCTTATAGATCATAGCAGGTAATAATAGCATGTAATAAAAATAGATATTTTTTTAAGTGATATTTTTAAAAAATTGAGCAGTCAGAGGGTTAATTGCTGCTTGATAAATCCAAGTTTTGATTATCATTTAATTCATGTAAATAAATATATTAAAGTGTAATTTAAAAGATGGGAAACTGGCATAAATCATAGAGCAGATATATAGCAAGGTTTCTAATCTTAATTACTGCCAGCTGCCTCACCCTCAAAAAAAAAAAAAAAAAAGGCTCTGTAATTAAAAAAGTCATTCAACATGATCTGCTATAAAAAATATTAACAAAGATAGTTTTACTTCCATTTATTTTAAACTGTATTTTATGCATAAAATGTTAAAATTAAAATTCATGAAACTGTCGTAGAATAATTATGTATTTTTCTCAATAAGTTGTTATTTTCTCAATGAATAATAAATATGTTTCCAGTTTGAAAAGGTAAAAATTATCTTTAGTAATTTTATAATTTGGAATTTAATTAAGATCTACTGTCTTAAAAAATATTTTGTTGATTTTAAGATTGAACAACTAATTCAGAAAGAAGACAAACGAGCTCGGAAAAAACACTATACAATTGTGAAAAATTATTCTGGTTCATGGTTTCCAATATCTAAGGGAATTAGAACTTGTTGTTCACCTCCATGCAGTGATGAACTACGTATCCCACTATCGGTAGGGGATACTGTTTATGTTACAAGGTGGAGAAAGTAAGTTCCTATTTTTGTGGTTTTGATTCATTGAAAACCAATATGAATTTTAGATTTTATTATAGATGTATAGTCTTTGACTGCTTGCTAAAAGCAGCTATTTGTGTGATATTTTGTATGTTTGCAGGGGCTTTTTTTTTTTTTTTTTTTTTTTTGTAATGTAAATACAGCCCCCCGCCCCAGTTAAAGATATTTTGTTTTTCATGTCTGCCAGAATTGGACCATTGTGATTTTAAGTCTCATAAAGTAGTTATAACATAATTTCCTAATATGAGCATTATCATCCCAAAGGCCAGTAAGAGGGCATGGAGAAGCAAGTGAGCAAATTTGATTGCTAAAACAGTTTGGAAACAATTATTTGAGTATTCGCTTGATTATACAAATATCAAAGTCATGCATCGTTACAGGTATAATTCCAAATTTTATCAATAAACCCTTGATACAGGTTGGTCAAAATTGTATTTTTTTGTTCCTAGACATCAGAATTCATATACTAACATTTTAATATTCTATGGGAAAATTTCACTAATTCATAACTATAAATGCATTTTTTTTTTCAGGTTTATCATTGTAAGCCCTTTTTAGAAATCATTGATTATTGTCAATTTTTTTATTTTGCATGATAAGTTTTAATTAATAATATGTTGCAATGCAAGTACAATAACTACCTAAATATTATAATGCATGTTCTAAACCTTACCTTCAAAAGACATCTAACGCATAATGGTTGCAAAGGCAAGACAGCATTGAACAAGCATAATGGGGGTTGCGGAGCAAATTGGATATTTAAAAAAAAAAAAAAAAGTGAACTAAAAAAAGATGAAAAACTATGATCTATATTAAAAGAACATGCAGAGAATTTCTAGAAATAGATGTTGGTAATTTCTTTCCCTGAATACTTGGCCAGAGAGGAGGAATATTATTCCTTGTTAGTTTGTTCTGACTTTAAATATTGACTAAAACAGTTTTCTGTGGCTATGTACCTAACAACAACAGAATTTTTTTTTTTAAAATTGCTGATAAAAGTAGCCATAAAATATTGGTTTAATATTTACATTTTAAAAAATTCATATAAAGTACACTGACTACCAATAAGTATTTGGACACCTGTGATAGAAAAGAAAAACTAACTTTATTCAAAATTAATAGTTGGTAGAGCCTCCACGAGAGGTAATTACAGTGGGGACCCTCGGGGGGCATACTTTCTACAAGTCTTTGTATGACAGCTAGTGGTATTTTCTTCCACTCGGCTTGGAGAAGACATAGAAGTTCCTTCACCGATTTTGCACGGGTAGTGCACCCCTGAATTCAGCGATGCAACTCGTCCCTGAGGTTCTCAATAGGGTTCAGGTCTGGACTCTGGGCAGGCCAATCCATTCGATGAACTCCCATTGGCACCATACCAAGCCTTGGTTAACGTCGAAACATGACAACTGACATTGTCGTCTTGAAAGTAACAGGGGTCCAACCCGTAAAACTGCCACAACATAGGAAGCACATTGTCATCCAAAATAGTGCAATAGGCATCGGAGTTGAGCTTACCATGAATGGGGACCAAGGGTCCCAGCCCATACCAGGAGAAACACCCCCAGACCATAATTCCACCTCCGTCGAACTTGACTGTTGGCACAATGCATTCTGGCAGGAGACGTTCTCCAGGTAGACGCCAGACCCAGACCCTGCCATCCGAACGGTAAAGATTGAACCTTGATTCGTCACTCAAAAGAACCCGTTTCCACTGATCTACGGTCCAATTTCGATGTGCTTTGCACCACATTAACTGAGCAGCGCGGTTGGACTTTGTGATCAAAGGCTTATGGGCAGCAGCAGGACCATGAAAACCAAGCAGATGTGCGTCCTTACGGATAGTATTCATTGAAACAATACTCCTGGATGCCTGTTGAAACTCCTCGAGGATGAGGGCCATCGGTTGGGTGCAGTTCTTCCAAATTTCTTTGGACAGCACTCGTCGGTCTCTATCTTCCAGTTTCGTTGGTCTGCCGACTCGGGGCACATTCCGACAATTTTAAATTTTGTTTTTTTAATATTTTTAAATCATTTTTGGGTTTTAAACTATTGTAAAATAATAATGTAATAATTTTAAAACATAATTAAATATGTCAAAATTTATTTAAAATTTTTTTTATTAATATTCACAATAGAACAATCTTTTTTTTTTTTTGCACAAAGTAGCTTCTGAGTTTTAATTCTTAATTAATCATGAAATCTGAAGATAAGAAAGGATGAGAAAAGAAAAGCATGTACATTAGAGATTCCTCAGTTTGATGCTTGGTAGTGCTTTTAATATTTAAATTTTTAATTTCAATGTGTTTTGCATTATTGCCTCAATCTCAGATAAGTAATATATCCCTCAAATACTGATACTGTGATTCTGCATTTTAAATATCTTTTCTGGCATCATGTAGGTACTTTATATTGTTGTGTGCGCACGGGTTCATAATAGATATAATGCACAAGTCCAATAAAAGGTTAATAAAATTTATTCTTATCGCAAGAAATATAACAAAATGCTGGAATTTTCCTCGGAGATAATTGTACAATATCACGCAATATAATCAGTAGCCTTACTTTAAACTTCTCAAAACGTTAGAGTACAACGCAATCCAAAGAGAAAGTTAATCTGATCTCACTGCGATTTCGCTTACAATGCAATCCAAAGAGAAAGTTAATCTGATCTCACTGCGATTTCGCTACAATCAACCACAACAGCTCAGTGAACGACTGAACTGAGATGTTTCTCTCTGTCTTTTTAAAGCTTTTTATCAGTCACGAGAGAGTTCTAGTTATTTCCTTTGCTTCTCAGAATTTCTGGAAACCAAAAGAGTAGAATTATGGTTACACCTAACATAGTTGTCAATTACATTTATTCAAATTAAATGTAAATTACCATCATAAACTTTTATTCAATGTTAAATGCACGTGCTCCTATATTTTATTTTACTTTTTCTGGCATAGCTTTCTCTTAAATTTCTCTCGCACTGCATTGCAGGGGGGATTAAAACAGTTTTAATTGTAATTCTGCTAAAAATATCTAACTAAATACAGAATTTGTAACGCTGCTCCCTTCCTAAGGACTGCATATCCCGGACAGTACAATCCCTGAACAGGCAGCTATACCTGCAACTAAGGCATCAATGAAATAATAAACAGCATAAACAATAATTGCAATAAATAGTTTAAAACCAAACGGACCATGGTCTTATACTATTTGCATTATGTAATGTTACGGTAAAAGTAATAAATTCAGTGATTACATAAAATTACCGGTGATTATACATAATCACCACTAAAAATTTGATAAATATGAAATAATTTATCATATTTACCAAATTCAGTGGTGATTATGTATAATCATCGGTAATTTTATATAATCACTAATTTATCATTTTTACTGTAACATATATACACTACATAGCATGGCCATAATAAGGAGCAAACCTGTCATAATGAACGACTAAGCATAGAGGTCGATGACTTATGGATCCGAAATACGATGTCATTCAGCATGTTTAGGACTGTGTAAGGACCATCCCAAGGTGACTGTAGTTTAGGACAGAGTCCTTTCTGTGGAGTCAGATTCCATAACCACACCTTGTCTCCTTTGTGGAATTGATGATCAGTCGTATTGGGTCTTCATCTTCTCCATTGGCAAGTTGACTCACTCTCATGCAAAGTTGTACATCACTTCAAACCGGGCCTGAAGATCTTGAATATATTCCTTAGGTGAGATAATATTGCGATTATAGATTGAAATGTCCTGCCAGGTAGGTTTTCTGTTTGGGGACTCCATTAAATCAATTATAGGTTTAATGTTGCCATCTCCCGGCTGGTCTTTCTTGATTTCTTGGTCACTCCATGGGTCTCGGTCAGCCGATGTTGATGTTTTAATTTGTCATGTGACCGGATTAAGCAGTTTGTATTTCGTTTCAACCCTGGAACAATATTTGCAGCTTTCTGAGCTGGTCTTCTAGACAGGATGTCGGCATTTCCATGTGATGATGGATAGTGATGTCATATTCCTGGAGTCTCTGTATCCACCTGGCTATTTGAAATATAAAAGCCAGTTCAATGATGCATGATCCATGCGGAGTAGGAATTTTCTACCATAGAGATGATGATGAAAATGTTTTACAGCTTTAATATGGTGAGCAAATCTTTGCTACTGACACAGTCATTTTCTTTCCAGTGCACGTGGTAATTTATGTGCTCCAGTAAGCCACGACACATTGTTGGCTATTTATTTTTTGAGACAAAACAGCACATGACACTTTCATTGCTTGCGTACGTGTCGAGAATAAATGGTCTGTCGAGCTGAGGATACGTCGAAATTGGAGCAGATGTTAAAGCTTCCTTCAGGTTCTTAAATGCATCCTTACATTCTTTTGTCTACAAGAACTTTTGCTTGCTCTCTGTCAGCTTGTGAACGGATCTTGTGATGGAAGAAAAGTCCTTTATGAATCTCCTATAGTAAGTGCAAGGCCTAGGAAACTTCTCAGCTGATGGACATTTTTGGGGTGTCTCCAGTCTTTAACCGCTGACACTTTTTCAGGATCCATACACACACCTTCAGCAGAGATGACATATCCGAGATAATTAACTTCCTGTCTGAATAATTTACATTTAGCGGGACTCAACTAGATTGGCAGTTTCTGAAACATCTTTCTAAGATTTTCTAGATGTTCTTCAAAACTCTTCGTAAAGATGATGATGTTATCCAGGTATATCAGACAGGCTTCGTAGGAAATACCTTTTAAACCAGTCTCCATGAAGCGTTCGAATGTTGCCAGTGCATTCCAGAGTCCAAATGGCATCACCTTCATGTTAGGTAAAAAATAGTGTGCCACGGTATCAAATGTTATAATATCCAAAATGTAATGATGGAATAGTTTTATGGGGCCCAGTGTGAATCGCAATAACCCATAATACTTGAAAATGTGCAGATGGAAATGTGTGATTTAAAAGAGAAATATGAAATCAAA